ACCATTGAACTATGTCTAATTGAACTTTCCAAAAATAACTATCCAATACAAATTTTATGGTTTAGTGAAACTTTTATAAAAAGAGGGGATGAGTCACATATTACTTTTAAGGGATATACCATGGGCAGTTACTATTCTAGGAAAACACAAAAGCGTGGTGGTACGTGCATTCTAACATATTGCGGAATTGATTGCAAGCCAATAGAAATATGTAAAGAATGCTCATGTGATAATATATTTGAATGTTGCGGTATAGAAATCACCAGTTTAAATACAGTAGTAATATGTTTATACAGAACACCTACATCTAACATTAATTCATTTTTTAATAAATTGGAAATACTGTTACATAAATTAAGATTCAAAATTATAAATAAAAAACTCATATTAACAGGTGATTTAAACATTAATATACTGTTAAATAATAAAAGTACAATTACCTTAAAAAATATCCTCTCAAATTTTAATTTAACTTTACATATAAATGAGCCAACACGACAAAATAGCTGTATAGATCTCATAGCAAGTAATCACGAAGAGGCATATGGTACAGTACACCGGCTCTATCTATCTGATCACGATACCGCGCAAGTGTTAGAATTTCCAGGAAAGTGTGAAAAAATGTCACAATATTGGTACGTTAAGAAAAGAGATTTTAGTGATGAAAATATAGAAAAATTTCTATATTATATATCATAATTATCATGGCATGAAGTCTACGCGGAATCAGACGTAATTAAATCATTTAGTATTTTTCATCAAGAACTTACATTGTATTATGAATTATGTTTTCCCTACCATAAATCTAAAATAACTACAAACAGTCGATCTCCTGCATGGATCACTAAAGGCCTGAGAAAAGCCAGTGCCATTAAAAGACAGTTAAGGTTTTCATATTATAAATTTAAGAAACAAGATACATTGGAAAAATATAATATTTATGGAAAAATATTAAAGAAATGCATAATATGGTCAAAAAAAAAATATTAACAGAAAACATCTTAAGCGGGCAAAAAATAAAGGAAAAGCCACTTGGAACATAATGAAAGATAAAAATAATAGTATCAACTCGATTAACAGTGTGAAATCAATACAAAACGACGGAAATATTATTCATAATCCTACCCAAATAGCAACGTTTTTTAATGACTTTTTTATTAATATTAGTAATGGAAATAATTTACATGCGCCAAACGAATAATATCAAAAAATATCAATAAATGTTAATGATAAATCAATATTCTTGATACCTACTTCAGAGCTTGAAATCATAAATATAATTAAATCATTAAATAATACCAAAGCTGTGGGGTATGACTCTATATCTACAGAAATAATTAAAGCAAGTGCTCGTGTCATTGCCCCCATTCTTAACCATATAATCACAAATTCCTTGATCCAAGGAATATTTCCAGATAAATTAAAACACTCTATTATTAAACCATTGTACAAGAAAGGTGATAGAAAAGAACCTAATAACTATCGTCCTATTACGCTTGTACCTATTATATCAAAAATTTTTGAAAGGGTTTTTTACAACAGGTTAATTAAATTCCTTAATAAACATAATATTATTAAAAAAGAACAGAATGGTTTTTAACACAATAAATCAACTTCTTTAGCAGCATTCTCTCTTGTAAAAAATATAACTGGATACATTGATGAGAAAATTCCGGTGGTAGCCATATTCTTTGATATGAGTAAAGCTTTTGATTTTGTAGACCATGGGATTTTGCTCACCAAATGCGAAAAATATGGCATTAGAGGTGTAGCTTTAGACTGGATAAAAAGTTTTCTAATCAATCGTAAACAATATGTTGAAATCACTACTTTAAATGACAGACATGAATGCAGTGTTACAGATCTCCATCCAGGGTCAATAAACATGGAGTTCCACAAGGGAGCGTACTAGGCCCCTTATTATTCTTACTGTACATTAATGACCTACCAGATACAATAAACTGTCAAAGTGTTCTATTCGCAGACGACATATCTATAATAGTGCCATATAAGGATCAAGATACATCTCACGAAATTAAAATAAGTAAAGAAGTACAATCTGTATTAAGATGGCTAAAAGCAAACAAATTAAATGTAAATTTGTCAAAAACAAAATTCATAAAATTTTGTACGAATAAAAGTAAACGCCCTGATAATAATATTAACATAAAAATAGAAAATGATAGTATAGAAGAAGCTGACAGCATAAAATTTCTGGGTATAACTTTGGACAGATTTTGTAATTGGAAACAACATGTAAATGATACTTGTCTCAAACTAAATAGATTTTCCTATGCCCTTAGAAAGCTTCGGACCGTATCAGATGAAAAGACTGCAGGTATAGCGTATAAAGGCTATGTAGAATCAATCCTTAGATATGGGTTAATAATATGGGGGAATTCTACTGATGTTGGTCAAGCATTCATTGCACAAAAGAAATGTTTAAGAGCTATTTGTGGAGCAAGTCCACTTGACTCCTGTAAACCTTTATTTAAAAAACTTAATTTACTGACATTAACCTGCATGTATGTTCTTGAGGTATCAGTCTTTGTAAGGAAGTATAAGGATTTTTTTAAATTCAAGGGGGATCATTTTAGTAAATACAGACCAAGAGATCCAACTAAAATAATGATTCCATTTTGTAGAACAACCTTAAATAAACTGAATGTATATCATATGTGCATATCAGTTTTTAATAAACTGCCTAGGAGTCTACGGGAACTTCCAATAAAATATTTTAAAAGTAAGTTAAGAAAATGGCTAGTGGATAAGTGTTTTTATACGATACAAGAGTTCATGCAACATAAAACTAATGTATATGATTATTTGTAATTTTAAATAAAATGTAATATAATAAAAAATATAATATAATAATAATAATATATAATAATAATAACATTTTCTATATAATTTATGATAAATAATAACATAACTTGACATTTTTGTAAGTAACATAATAGTATTTTAATTGTTTTATGTAATTATAAATATTTGCATGCCTATTAAAGGCAGAATATAGCTTGAACTATGCACCACTGTTAAATCTGGTACCACCTGTATTCTGTGCAAATAAATGTTTCTTTCTTTCTTTCTTTCTTTCCCATATAGCTGGTCCGAGGTGGATGGCCGGCCCGAGGTGGCCACTCCGAGTGGGCTTGGGAAGCCCACTTCGGATGTGTGTTGGTGGACTGCGGTGAGAGTCGTGTCCTCCCCACCTACCGCTGCAGCCGAGGTGGATTCGCGGAGGAAGAGGAGTGTTGGTATGGCGATACGCCACTCGCCCTATCCTCCGCGACTCAAACGGGTCCGCACCGTTGATGCGGTGGTGATGGGGCTGCGGGGGGAGAGGATTGTCGGTATTGCGAGGCGCCGCTCTCCCTATCCTCCGCAGCCGAATCTTGGTTGGCGGCGGAGCCATAGACCAGATCCGTCGCTGGGGTCGGGAAGGCTAGTACTTCTAAGTGCTCGTTTTTCCTGGCCCCATGGCCTTCGCGCATCGGACGCGGGGGCGTCTGTTGCGCAGATGTAATTGGAGGCCGTGGAGGAAGGCGTGCCATGTGTTCTGGTGCGCCTTACTTGGGAAGGAGAACGGGGAGGAATATTCCTCTCCCGATGAGGTGCTGCCATGGGGCGGCAGTCGCTGGTGGGGCCGCGGATGTGTGCGAAAGCGTTCCCGTAGCCCTGCCAATATGCGACGAAGGTGGAATACCATGGGGTTTTAGTCGGTGCGAGTCCGACATAACCCGTCCTTGCCCCCGCGAGGCGGGTATGCGTAGGCATTTCCCCATGTAAAAAAAATAATAGGCATAGTATATATAAGTATGTCATACTTTATGGGCATGCCGACCTAATTAGTCCATGCCCATAAAGTATGACATTGACAGGTACTGTTTGTACTACTAAGAAATTCATGACTTCATAGGCGTGATTTTTACTGACAGCTGTCGCAGAGATCAAGCCATATTTTATGAACCATAATTAATAACTTTTAGTGTTGCCAACTTGACGGATTTCCGATTAGATTTGACGGGACAGCGAGGTTAGCAAAGGGAAAAAATTGTGTTTAACGGCTAACAGATTTTTTAAAGGGACAACAAAAATATATGTTTTTTTAGATTTGTTTTCGAAATAAAAATAATTTGGAAATGGCAAAAATTTAATTATAATTTTATTCATTTTTTTTTAGTTTAAAAATACGAAAAAATGTGCTATACATTCTTATTTTTAAAAAGTTGAGAGTAAATTTTCATTTAACGTAATTATTTTAAATACAGCCCGGAAACTGTTTTGCCGTTGGTCGGCCAAAATGATGCGCTACTGTTGAATATATAGAAAACTATCAACTACTCTATTTATTTCTTTCTATCTCTTTACTGTTTGAGTCGCATATCCTTGTCTATGAGATCACAATATGTACTACGTCTAATCTACTTTTGTTATTATTATCTCTCCTATCATTGTTTTGTTTGTGATACGGATGATGTTTGATCTGTAATAAAAGTTTTTGTTGAATACTCGCAATTGTTTTTATTAAAAATGGGAAAAACTGCTGGAAATTTTATTTATATATAACACTTCCGTAACGAGTGACTTCAAGATATTCTATGCAAGGATTGGATTGTGCAAAAAGAAACAACTCAAGGAGAATTCGTAGTGTCTTTTAAATATTGTATGTGTGTTGTAAGTAAAACATATATGAAAAGTAATAAATCAAAAATCCCTACTTAACGGGTTTTGACGGGATTGTAGCATTCTATAAAGCGGGAGCGAAAATTAAATGTTGGCAACATTGATAACTATAGCAACACTACTTTTTTCTTTTTTGTTTTTATTTTGCTAATCGAATACGGAAGCAGTCGGTAAAGTGGTGGGAAATCTCTTTTGTTGTGGTTGACACTGTTTTGTGAAATATGTCATATTGCTTCTTTCGAACTATGTAAAAATGATTAAATTGTGGTAAATAAATGTTTTCCCCGTAATAAAATCATCTAGTTCTGAGGATGGCTACGAGGGGGGATAAGGGGAATGGAAATGGCGAGGAGCAGATCGTCGAGGTAAATCGATTTGTCCTACTTAAATTCGACAGTTAAACTTGACCTAAGTGATGTGTGAAAACATAAATTTCGGTGTTGTAGACGTTGGCGGAAGTGTTCCGATGCTTCATTTGTATGGAGAAACTGGTGGATGCGCACCTATGCCCTCATTGCTCAAAGCTCTGCTGCTACGCCTGTGTTCGGCGCTGGCTGACAGAACAGCGGTCACAGTGCCCGCACTGCCGTGCTGCCCTGCATTTGCACGAGTTAGTAAATTGCCGTTGGGTAGAAGAAGTTACCCAGCAAATCGAGACAATGCAGCAAACCAATTCAGCCAGCCAAAGAGAAAGTTTCAGGGACAGGTAAGTTTTTGTTGGTATTGCCTCTGCCACTGATACTGGCAGTGGCTAATGAGAAGTTCATTGTCTTTTTTTAAATAATTATTGCCACATACAGCATATTGAATAAACAATCAGGTTGGGTTTACAATTCGGTCGCCTGAATTTGAAGATTCTGTCAATGTGGGGGAGTCAAGGGGGTTTATCTGAAGCACCCCCACTCGATTTTTTCTGTCGGAGCAGCGTCGAAGTATTCTTAATTATTTTTTAAAAATATTGGTAAATGACTAATTTAATTACGTTTTAGATGTTTCATCTGTCAATGTCATATCGATATATAGTACTGAATCGATCTAGTGAATCGATATTTCACCCTAGAGAATCGAGATTGAATCTTTTTCTGTTTTATTAGGACTCGTAAAATTATTTACAATTAATTGAATGTACCCCAACTCGTAAAGAATGACAGTTTTTAATTTAATTATTCAATGTTATCTGAACTTTATTTTACTTTTAATATCGTAAATATAAACTTTTAATGCAAATCAAAAAAAGATCGATTTTTGCGAAATCGATCTTTAAGATTTCGATTTTTTGTGAATCGATTCATCCAATTTTGATTTGAATCGATTTAAAAATATGTAAAATTAAATCGCTATGGCTATGTTGACCATTTTGTTGACAACTTTTCCTCATGGCGTTGCTTCCGAGTTTCAGAATTTTGTTGAAAAGTGAAATATTTGTAGCGGCGGAATACTGCTAAATATTGCAAAGATCTTTTCTTACAAATAGTGGCAGCCATAAATTATGTTTATAAATAAAAGTAGTTATGAAAGTTAATAATTTGGTGTTATATCGAGTGCAATAGCGAAGCGAAGCGAGCCTGGGACGTGGAGCACCCCGACTCGGACAGGTTAGGTTAGAAGAGGATGACGGATGAGATGATGTTATTCTTTTGTAAACCACTCAGAAGTAGGAGCCCCGCGGCGAGGGCTCCGTCGACCGGACTTCCATCGACTGCACCACGTTAAGTGGCGTGGGGCTTCCGTCCCCCAACTCTCTCTCCCCATAAATCAGGTTAAAATTGTCATAAAAATTACGAAACATAACCTCAAAATGTGATATTTAAAAATTAATAAAAAAAAAACTAAGCACGTCCGGCAGAAAGTGGAAGTAGGGGGTGACTCTACAACTCCTCCCCCCTCCCCCCACGCCACCCCCCACCCCCAAATTCAGGCGACCGAATTGTAAACCTTACCCAAACAATCACTGACATACAACATATTCAGTAAAATAAATTTCAGTCAGTGCAGTCACATCAGCTTATATTTTCGTTAACACCTGTTTTGGATCCTTTTGAGTGTCCTATGTAGAAAAGACTATATTTACAATCAAGCTTATATACTACTGTATCTTGTAGAGGAATATTACACTGGTGGATGGTAAGAACTGACTAATCTTCTTCAGCGGCTTTTAGTATGTTTTTATGAAAGCCTGCTTTAAGTAAAAAAGTTAAATAATGATTTCTTATATTTTTGTGAATACTACATATTAAACAAAATAAATTTTACAGATTTTTATTGTGTTTACATTTAACTTTTTTTTTATTACCGATGTTTTGGTTATGTTACAGCACATCCTGATCTCATAGTTAATGAAGGCTATCTTCAACTTTTAATTATTAATTTTGGTCTGATCTACACAGAAAAAGTTTACAGTATCTTGAAGTCTTGCAGTTGTATGCTTGAGTTTGGATTTAATTTTATTAATTATGGGATCAAAGGCAAATAGTAGCACCCAGCCATCTTCTCTATTGAAATTAGATTGTTTTTGGATTTCAATAGCCTCTGGAATAATCCTTGAAAGGAATCGTTGTTCTTTAGTGAGGATTTGTGGTCTATCAAATTTGATGTAGTGACAGAGGCAATCCTGTACGTGTTCACAGAGACTGCAGATTTCCCTTAGTGTTGTATTCTTCACATCAGCTATGGTGTTATTTAAACTGGTTTTTATTGATCTTTTAGTTTGTCCTATGTAATAGAATAATAGAATTGCAGACGGATATTAACCTTGATGGTTGGTAAGAACTGACTAATCTTCTTCGACAGCTTGTTGAAGCCCGCTTTAAGATGTAGCCAATCTTGTCTGTGACTCTTCTGACATGGTAGTAGAGCAGACACATGCTTGACTGTGTTTGGTTTCACTCAGTCACTGTGACGGTCAATTACTTTAGTCCCCACTATGACCATGGGTGCTGTAAAGTGCTTTGAAACATTGGGAATTAAATAAGCTAAAATTATAATTATATAAAATCTATGCAATTAATTATATTCAAAAAAATTATAATTAAACAACTAAAATTTGTAAAAGTTTTATTCAGTGTGTAGTATTTTCATGAATATAAAAATCATTATACAGTAAAAGCTCTTTATTCGCGGGGTATATGTTCTGTAAATATTCCACGAATACAGAAACTGTGAATATGGAATGGTAGTTTATATGGGATTATAGGGGATACGTTCTTAGGTAACTAAAATAAAAAGCAAAAATATTAAATATCAATTTAATTGAAGTTTTTGATCATATTGATTAATTAATTATTATATTCATTTTTAGGCAATGGTTTAAAGAATTTTGTAATTTTTTCTTGTTAGGCAGTTTTTAAAAACTCCTGCAATTCAGACTGATATGCAGCAGTGGCATTAGCAATTTGCCTCTTAAAGATTCGATAGACTTAATTCCATAGATGGACGAATTTTTATAAACAAATCTTTCAAATTAAATATCACATTTCTAGTGCTTGATGAAACTACGTTTTCATTTTTTTTGTTAACATTATAAATTAAGAAGACAGTGGTAGAGACCTGCTTGTTCACAATTTTTGTAACAAATGGAAAGATGAAACAATAAAACATGCAAAGCCGCTCTTACCAAATATTTTAAATAAATATTATAAATATATATATTATACTTTAGCATTGAGTAATAATGATGCTTTCATTCTCTTTGTTTACATTCTCAAAAACACTGGCTGCAGCAAAGGCGGCTTATGTCAAAGGCGGAACCAATACAGCAGCGATATAATTTAATAACATGCTTTAGGCTTAGTCGTATTAAGGGCTATATTACTTTTTTATTAGTCCATTTGAAGATGCCTTTACAAAGGTTATTCCCTTGGATACCTATTGGAATCCTTTGTATTAATATGTATGTACTGATTAGATCCCCAAATAAAGAAATCTTTAGCCACAAATATAGGAAGTGGGCATTCTTTTATTCCGCAAATAGTGAAAATGCAAATGAAGGACGAGCTAATAAGGAGATTTTACTGTACAATATATTGATTAAATCTTAGGGACTGCCTGTATGCCTGCTTATTACTGAATAGCATTAGCATTGAGTGTTTAAATTTGTTTGTTATGGAAATAAAATTATCTTGGGATTAAAGTGACCTAATTATTGAAAGTCAATTCACAATATTTTTAAGGTACAGTGCCAGTTGGTATATTGGTCTGCTTTAATTAGCTTCTAACATTATACTTTTAATAATACCATGTTTTGATTTGAATTGATGACCTTGGTGAACTATGTTTTTATTTGAAAAAGGTTCCTTCAAGAGCTTTATGAGCTGTTTTACAGTACATTACCAGTAAAACAGCTGATAAAGGCAGTAATATACATGTGACTACATAAGTAAAAGTTATTTCTGTTGCCAAATAGGAGTGCATGTGTCACAGACTAAACGGTATCGATCCAGTTTTATTACAGGCTGTAAGACATTCCATGTTAGTCATCAGAGGTGATAATGCATCTGTAGCCTTTATTTGCAGGTATTCATGAGCTTCAAAAGCTACTTACCATCTCATCACTTTAGTTTCATAAAAAAAACATGGCGACAACCCACCTCATCATCAGCATGCATATTAAAACAAATAAGAGTTTGACCAATTATTTCATCAATTGATGATCAACTACAAATAAACCAGTCGACATCAATTTACTGAAATCAATGTGAACAAAGAATTACCAGGTCTCGTAACAATAACCAACCATTTGTGTTTGTGCATAAATGTCAGTTTAGATTGGAATTTGTACTTGGGATTATTTTCTAGCTAGGTATAATTGCCGGCACAAGTCGTGAGCACAGTTTTATTGTTCGATATGACGTTGACAATGCTGACACTCAACGTGATTGGTTTGTCAGCTGATTCTCGTCGCCTATTGGGTTTGCATGTATCATTCGACTACCGTACACTTCGGAGCAATTTTAGTGACAACTTTTTAATTAGTTTATTTTGTTAATTGTAGTGTTACCTCTTTGTTAATTATTGTTTGTGCATTTCTTGTTTTCAACTGTTTTTGATATTTATTGTTGTTATTTTTTTGTCATTTGAGCGTTCAGATTTTAGTCTAAATATGCAGAGAAGAAAGAATTCTGTGTAAAATAGACAATCCCGACAAATGGTCTATTCAGTGTTTTGTTACATGAAAAAATTAGGTATTACGAAAAACGTGATAGACATTTATAAACAGACTGCTGAGGCGACAAATGTCTACGTAGCTACTTAACGACGTATAGTTAAAGGAGTTAACGACTCAGAATTTCGAAAAAAAGACAGTGAAAACATTCAACTACGAATTGAATTAACAAAGGTACCAAATAATTTTGGCCGACAGTGTACCTACGCTGGATCAGCCCCCACCATAGTTAATCTGTGCTCACGACTCGTGGCGTCAACTATACTCAGTGAGCAGTAAATCATGCAGTTGTTACCTATTATATTATGACTAATGGTATGCTTATTTGTTGTTGTTTGTAAACAATATTTCAAATTCTATTAGTTTTTATAAGGAGATATTATTATTCAAGATGCTTTAACTAATAATGTGTAATAAACAATATTAAGTGACACATCACAGCTTTATTTTTTTAACTTTGTTATGTAAGACAGCTGTGTTGCACTGGCTTAGCATTTACAGCAAGTGCTAACCATCTGAGCTACCACGGCCTATTTCTATCTGTAACTCTCTGTCATTTTATGTTATATTACATGGAAATACTACATCATAACCACTTAAAGATTCATTTTGAAACAAAGTCAGAAACAAAACAGATTTTATAATATTTTAATAAGCAAAGAGTATAATATGAAAAATACGATTGAAAAAAAAAAGGCTTAAAATTTTTAATAATTGGCTTTAATGACCATAATATGAAGTATAGAATCAAAATTGTGCGTGTGAATGTTACAAACGCTGGTAGACAAAATGGTGAGTGGATAATAGTTAAATATAAATTGTATGTAGTATGTATAAATTAAGTACAAAGTTCTGTTTATATATGAATTTGAAACCTAAATTACATACATTTTTCAAATGTCCTAACTTTTCTTTTTGTAATCTTTCTTAAGATGTAGTTTATGACAATACACATCGACTAACATATAGACCTGAAGCAATTGTCAGTAAGCGATATAAATATTATTTCCATGCAAGAATTACACCTAGGTGACCCCTACAACACATGATTTTAACACCTTTGTTAAAATCATGTCAACTATACTACCGAGACGTCATATTACTACTATGCTCTATACAAATTTAGATCTAGCAGACATTTTATAATTTATTTACATCAACAACACATTTGGTTGATTATGTTTTAGATATCTAAGCAAAAAAATTTTTTTCAAATCTTTATTTTTACATGTATTTTTAAAATCATTGGAAATAATTTGCAACATTCAAGTTATTTTTTAAATTAAGTAAATGAATAAATAATTGTCCTTCAAATTAATAGTAACCACAAGTTGAGAACTATTCTTTAACAGCAATTTTTTTGTCTGAGTAATTAAACTAATTTTTCAGATGTCCAACCCATCAAGAAAAGCTTACGGTTTACTGTTGGACATGTAGACGTTGTATTTGTCATCAATGTGCGCTGTGGGGCGGCACTCACTCGGGCCATACCTTCAAGCCACTCGAAGAAGTGTATGAGCAGCATGTCACGCAGATCCGTGATGAGGTCTCCCAGCTGAGGCGCAGATTGATGGAACTTATCAGTCTTGTTCAAGATGTGGTAAGATTAAAATTTTATGGGTGAACAACCTCTTTCCTAGCTTTTTTCTTTTTTATCAGAGTGCAAAAGTTAACTGGTGGACATGGGCCTTTTCCATTGAAAAAATTTGCTTTAACTGCTACATGAGGCAAGAGCAATGGTGATTTCAGTACTAGATGTCTAGATATTTAAATTAGATGTTTATTTTGCCATCTATTCGAAACTTTTAGATCTCTTTGGTGCTCACCATACCCATGGGATAAAATAGTGTCATAGATTGTGTTGCCACCACATGAGTAGCATTAGATTTACGCATCAATGAATTTTTATCAAATTATATAAACATATGTATACTATATTTTAGTATAAACCTTATGTATGTTTCACTTACAAATATTTTAATAGTTGTGATGTAATCCATCAGAGGAGTCTGTAGGTTTTCACAATCCACGGGCTATAGTGGCCACTTAACATTTAATTTGGGCAGCATGATTACCATGTAAGTAAGGAGCTTTTGTAAAATTTATTACTTTTTCCAGGAACGGAACGTAGAGTCCGTACGTGCTGCCAAAGATGAACGCGTGCGCGAAATTCGCAACGCAGTAGAACTTATGATATCGCGACTAGACTCTGCGTTAAAAGCAAAATTACTGACGCTGATGGGCCAAAAGAACAGCCTCACACAAGAGACTGAACAACTCGAACATCTACTGCAGGAGATTGAGCACCAGCTACATTCCAGTACAAGGTGATTAGTAATTTTCGAGTTCCTAATTAAGGCTGTGACATAAGTAGCTAAGTAACCTTGTGTTATGGATATTTAAAAAAAATTTCGGCGGTAGCTTATATAGTTCAAAATTTCTATTATTTAGCTTTAGTTTGTTGACACCCCAATAAATTTTTTGATGCAGGTCTGAATTGATCACTAAAAGTGGTGAGCTGTCGAAGATGATTCATCAGGTTCGCAAGAAACCCATGGCAAGCTTTGTCACAGCTCCGGTACCGGCCGATTTCCACAGGCAAGTATAATTTGATCGCCAAAATATCAGGAGACGTAGTAAAGTTGACTTTCTACAATCGGTAACAATGATAGAAAAATATAACAATAGGATGAACTTTAAGTCGCTTGACTGTTAGATTGTACTACAGCTGTAACTAGCAAGCGAAAGCAATTTATTCTAGAAAACACAGTTTGTGGTAATATGTAGAAGGAGGCTCTTTATGATGAACTCTTTCTTCCAGAAGTGGCTACATAAAAAGTGGTTTTGGTTCAGCCTCGACGATTCGGCAAAAAATAATATTGTTTTCGGCAAAGAGTAAGACGACCAAGCGAGAAATGTTGAGTGATGTCCCCGTGCGAGGTTGAGAGAACAGCGATCACCAATTAGTGAGAGGCACACTGGATCTTAACATTAAGATAGAGAGGTCCCAACTAATGAAGTCAATGCTCCGCCCCCTCGTGCTTTAATACTAAGCACTGTGCCTAGAATATCAGACCAGGGCAATACAGTGGATAATTAGATTAGATTGCGACGGGCTGTTTTCCACAACTCCTCTTCTAAGCGCGTATTTTGCGTGTGGGGCAGTAATAATGTGAATATTCAAACCATGAAATCTCCGAAGAAGTTCAACAGTAACTTCATCGAGTGATGCCAGAGTGCAGTGACCTCCGGATATTTCGGCAACACCTGGGCCGCTGTTTCTTCCTCCGTTTACAGTGGACAATATAAATGACAATCTTGTAGAAGCTGTCCATGCGATCGGAACTAAGTTCTGCAAGACCTGTCGCATAACAATCCAAAAACTCATGACTGTTAGACGGGAAATGAAGCTGCAGTCTTCAGCAGATATGACAACATAGAGACAACAGAACTTAAAGTTCTCCAAGCGCGTGCAACGAGATTGACGCAAATTCCCCACAGGTTGTATTGAAGAAGGGGTTGAGTGGAATTAAGGCACCCAAGTCTGACAGTGATCTGTCTGCTGCAAAGTTGAAGTTGAAGATCAACCATGAAGGCGTTATTTTTGGGACTCCTGAGAGACCTCTGAGTGAGATTGAGAGGTTATATGGACAGCTATATATCATCTTTGGACAATATACAACTCAACCACATACAAGTGTGAGTAATGACCAAAGAACAAGTCTTATTCAACACTATTCCAGTATCTATGTATTCGATACCACGAAAATTCGTGTGAACAAGATTAGTATGGCTTTGGAGCAAGATTTGGAGCCTTAAAATACAATACTCTGGGTGAGGCTGGAATTACAGCAAAGCTTCTGCAACCGGAAAACCGGACTGAAGACTTCAGAGGCTGTTCAGTTACGTCCTCTATGGAGGTGCTACTCTCAAGCAGAAGTGCGATGGTCTTTTTTAGCCATGTTTACGTCCTTTTTTCGAGAGTCATTACAAGTAGTTACAAGTCTTGCATACAAACTTGAGATGATGAAGTGATAGCAGCCTATCATACCTCATAAGGGGATTTGTCATCGTCGTCATGCTTGGCAAGTGGGTTGGGAACCACCGTTTTTATATACTTTCTACTTGTTATGCCGTTCTATTGTGTGTCTCTTATGACACTCAAGGGAGGATATTCTTATTGACTGTGTAGTATTTTTGACATATTCTCTAGTAAAATGGCAAGGGTAGAGACAGGTATCCGAATTATGAGTGTAGGAAGAATACCATATATTAATCATCAGCCCTTCACAAGTCCATGTACTGAACTTAGGTCTATTTTTATAGAAGAGGGGGCAAACGAGCATGCGGCTCACCTGATGGTAAGTGACTACCGCTGCCCATGAACAACCGCAACACCAGGGGAATCGCAGATGCGTTGCCGGCCTTTTAGAAAGGAGTAAGCTCTTTTCTTGAAGATCCCTAAGTCGTATCGGTCTGGAAAAGTCGCCGATAGTAAACAATTCCACAGAGAAGTTGTACGTGGAAGAAAACTCCTAGTAAAACGCACACTAGTGGACCGCCAATCATCCAGATGGTGAGGGTGGCATCGGGAATTTTGACACGATATGCGTTCGTGAAATTTGTCGTCTGGAATTGAATAGAAAATGCAAGGGGATGCAATATTCCTACGCACCGCCAGTGGATCGAACTGATCAGAAAGAACTCGGTCGTCGACGCGACGATTCGAATCACTCTGCGCTGGATGCGGTCAAGAGGAAAGAGTAGGCACTGGAGTGCCCCGGCCCAGAGATTAGAACAGTATTTCATATGAGCCCGTACTTGCGCATTGTAATGTTGCTAGCTATGTGTTGGCATGAAATACTGTCTCGCTCTGCTGAGCATGCCAAGCTTTTTAGATGCCAATTTGGCCTTCCCCTCCAAGTGACCATGAAACTGCACACTATTCGATATGTCGACGCCGAGGATTCTGATGCTAGCTGAGGCAGCAAGGGGAGTGCCTTGAAACTCAGGGGACACGACAAAGGGGTTCTTTTTAGCGGTTAACGCGCAAACTTGTGTTTTCTGGGGATTGAATTGGACTAGATTTAGTCGCCCCCAATCCGAGACTTTGTTAAGCAAAGGCTCGACTTCAGACACAAGTTTGTCCCGGTAAATGCGACGATTTCCCGAGAAATATTGGCACGGTCGGTGTATAAGGCATCACCAGTGCTGTTGTCTGCATAGCAATTAATGTCATCAGTTTGCAACATATGCTTGATATGCAGAAGAAACAACGTTGGTGATAGCACGCAGCCTTGTGGAACTCCAGCGCTAATAGGCTTGTAATCAGAGCATGCATCATCTACTACGACCTTGATGCTCCGATTAGCAAGAAAACTAGTGATCCGATCGCACAATTTCTCGGGAAGCCCAGAGGAAGGGAGTTTCGAAAGAAGCGCTTTGTGCCAAACCCGATCGAAGGCCTTCGCTATGTCCAAACTAATGGCCAATGCCCCTTGGACTCTATTGCCTCCGCTCATCTATGAGTAAGGTAGACCAGAAGATGACCAGCTGATCGACCACGACGGAAACCGTATTGGCGCTCACTGATCAACTGGTGATCCTCAAGGTACCTCATGAGCTGGCAGTTTACAATAGAATCCATTATTTTGGAGAACAAGGAGGTGATGGCGATAGGACTGTAGTTGAACGTTCGCCTTTTTTAGGTATCAGGTGGACCAAAGCTGTCTTCCAAAAATTAGAGACTACGCCTTGGGAGTAGGAGCACCGGAAAAGACGCGTTAAAACCGGTGCCAACTCCGGAGCACACGTCTTCAGCACAATGGGAGGTACTTCATCAAGCATACTCGACTTACTGACGTCCAGGTTGAAGAGTGCTTTGTAAACGACACATCCGGCATGCAGCACTCACAGGATGGTCGGCGGTGTGTACCTCCCGCCGTCGAGAGTCGAGTTGGACGCAAAGAGAGAGCCTAACAGATCGGTTTTCTTCTTTGCGGCATGGGCCAGTCGTCTACATGAATCGATTACCTGAGAGATTAGTGTAGCCGCTTTCGCGGTTAACCTCATACTGCCAAGCATAACTGAAAACGTTTACAGCCCGTGCATAGCTCAGTGCCATGAAAAAACCAGCGATCGTAATCCGTGCCGTTTATTATACAATCCTTTATACTTCTATTATTTTTGACGTGGTAGAGCCATGCTGCAGCTATATCATGTTTGTAGCGCATATGGGTCGGGTCGTTCAGGAAATGCACCTACAGAACACCGGCGTAAAATAGCAGAGTAATGCTGCCGTCTTTCGTACAGTGTGTTTAGAGATCCGGGAGACTCTTTTTACTAGAAACAAGGCATTCATTTCTTAGGGCGACAACGCATCTGCGTTTTGATTCTTAATCCAAGATAGATGGAGATGTCTATGGGCCTTAGCATCCACTTATCATCGTGTGGATTGTGTGCTCGTTTGTTAACCTTATTCTATGTTTAAAAAATGATATGGTGAGTTTGAAGACATTTGACAGTGAAATCGTGCCGAGCTACGACAGCAGCACGTTCCCGCTGGCGAACTTCACACAGCTGCAGCACGCGGCGGCGCCGGTGTACTCCGCGCCGCTGCACGTGCACGGCCTGTGCTGGCGCCTCAAGGTCTACCCGGACGGCAACGGCGTCGTCAGGGGCAACTACCTCTCCGTCTTCCTCGAGCTCAGCGCCGGCCTGCCGGAGACCTCTAAGTGAGTCACGCTCTTCAGGTAATCAAGGCGAATCTATGTTACTGCCACCAGGGCGGCAGCACTTTGGTATGAGGTGAAAAATTTAACAGCTTCCGAAGCGGGGAAGTTAATTTGTTAGGAAAGTGTGAGGTTTAAATTTTCGTTTTGTTATTAGTATATTATTAGTACATTTTATATTAACTAGATAACAAATGGATTAAACAAACTATGGATAACCCTAAAAAGAATTTTATGAACACAATAATGAAGCATTGTTTTTTGTATATAGTCTCTAGAAACCGAAAAAGTTTAATTTAATAGGAAACTTTTCAATGACGATGATACTGTTCACACATTTTCAAAAAAATCATTAAAAAGTTGCGTCCAAATGATTTCACCTGAGTCTCAACTAGCGACATCTAGTGAGCATAAGAATATTAAAACTCATTGTTTTGCTCGTATTGTAAGCTAATGGAATTTTATATATTTTGGTAGATATTCTATTTACTTATAAACATCAATATATATGTACTACGCACTAGATATGGCATTCCGAACTCTCACTATGTTCAACTGAACTGTACTGCAATCCGTACACCTGTTATTGTGGCTTCTATATTCATGCAGTGCTGAGCGATGCTAATAATACGAAAATTCTAATCAAAGTTTGAACCTGGACGTAAATAATACTTCAGTAGTCAAGTAAGTAAAATTATTTGTTGTTTAAGTAAATAAATGGGTAATAATATCGAAATACCATTTCTTTATTTAAATACCACGCCATATACAATCATAGACTAAAACATGCAGATGTTCAATTACAGAACCGAATGTAGGTAAAATATGTTACTGGACACAGACATGGTGTTTTTAGAAAGAGTTTTAATTTGTTTGTATTACAAATAGTTTATATTGTGAATATTTATTTTAAGTTTTTTCTTTTTCGTATAAAACATCTACAATCATATTTGTCGTAGTTCAGAAAACATGACGACGTGTGTGTTTCGATGCTGCAAAAATACATTAAGAAATGTCAGCCAACCATCAACTGTCAGTTTTCATCGGTAAGTTTATATTTAGTGGGATAAGTGGGAAATTTTATTTTAAACGTTTTTTTTAATGTATATCAAAATAGTACGTGAAACCTTGGGAACACATTATAATCGTACCTAGATATAAAAATTATTTTAAAGCATTTTGTCATTTGATAGCAATTATTACGCGCGAGCTAGTATTCAGATTTAAATAAGGTTCAGTTGATTGTGGAATCTGAAATATTTATATACATAAAATATTAATATATTTCAGGGTTGTTCACTCTGGTCATCCAAAAAGAGAAGAATAGATAAATATTCTTCAAAGGGATAGATGCGAAGACACGTGGCTTCCTACAAAATATTATTTTATCAGCTCCGCACGTTTTCTTAAGAAGTCAGCTATTCCTTCTAGTAATCCTTCAGAATATGCTGTCAAAAATCCACAGGCTTCTCCAACGTCTTTAGATAAAGTGCGAATTTCTGACTCTGAATCAATTTTTGATACACCCCGAAAAATAAAGTTGTAAAAAGATTTAAGGAAAGTTTTAGCTGCAAAAAAAGTAATATCAAATAAAATTACAACGGCAAAACAAACATCTTTGGAAGAAAACGAAATCTTTAACTGCGACTGTTAAACAATTGAAAGAAAAATTTGGTATAAATAAACAAATAGAGAATGAGTTGGTGAAAAAATCTGTAGTAGTAGAAATGTTTTGTAATACATTACATAAAATAAGAAAATCTCAAAAAAGAATTAAATACCCACCAAGCATACGAAAATTTGCTCTCACTTGCAATTACTACTCACCAACTGCTTATAAATACTTCCGCCATTTTTTTCAAAATGCTTTTCCCCACCCTCGTAAACCAGGATTTACAGATGAGTCTTCAAAAGCTTAAAACTTAAATCTGTCTCGACTTCCTAACCAATTGTTTGCTCTCTTGTTTTTGATGAAGTGGCGTTGAGGAAGCAAAAGTTGTTCAAGCAGAAAAAGGTAGGATTTCTAAATTTTGGAGACTCCTGTAAAAGTACAAGAAGAAGAAGTAGCAACGCAAGTCTTAGTATTTATGCTTGTGTCTATTACAGAAAACTGGAGAATTCCTGTGGGCATTTTTTTTGCGGCAGGTATCAGTGCTCATACAAAGGCATCCTTAATAAGAATTTGTTTGAACAAACGCTTTGAGGTAGAAGTTCTAGCCAGTATCACTTTCGATGGATGTCCGATAAATTTTCAGGCCGTTGATAAATTGGTATGCGACTTTGCTGATATCGATAAACTTAAAACATATTTTCTACATCCCCCTACTTTAGACAAAGTATACGTATTAATTGACACTTGCCATGTTATAAAACTTATACGGAAAAAAAAACTGTATGATGAAGATGATCAACTTATAAAATGGCAACTTGTCGTTAATTTGGCCAGATTACAACAAAGTCAAGGACTTAACTTTGCCAATAAGTTGTCTCCCCGGCATATTCACTTTCGCAACCAAGTATATCAATCAGGCTATGTATCAAGAAAATTGAATAAGGAGCTAAAATATGAAGAGTGCGTTTCTAGCTTGTTTACGTCAGTTCGAATATGGCATCACAAATTGATTCAGCTAAAAGATATAGGAGGGCTGTGCTATTTAACAGAAGATGTATACAAAAAACAGAATAAGTGATTTGTCACTTAATTATATACAAAGGACAACAAAAATTTGCCTAGGATGTTTAGTAATTTAAATACAATTATATCAAATACATTTAAAATATTTATTACCTGATACTGATATATTATTTATTACAAAACTTTTACTTTTTGCTACTCATTTCCGTTTAATGAAACTCTTAATTCTTTAAAAGTATGTGTACTTGTATAAAATACCAATTAATTTTATTTTATTTTATACTCTTGTTAAGGTATTTGAGCTGAAATATACAGATGATACGCATAAAAATTCATTTCCTTTTAGTTTTCTACTAACGTTTTTTATTTGAATAGTTTCTCTAGTACATAGTACATTAACTCAATGTTTTCTTATAACTAATTCATTACACACCATATAAACAAAGTGTCACCTTTGTGTTACTGCTACGGGTATGTACCGCACTTTTAATACCCACACGCCCAGCACTGCCGCTATATGATGATCTTTAATAAAAAATGTATATTTTATATTTTACTTAGTTACCTTTTAAAATGTTAAATAGTATTATTAAAATTTAATTATGGCATAATATTAAGTAATTTTATATTAAATTAGCAAATATGCAAAATAAACGAAAATTAAAAAAAATTTACTCGATTAACAATACAATCTAAATATAAAATTATTACATTACATACTAATTATTCTATTTACGCATTATATATGGCAATTTTAGTGCGTACTATATCAATTGCGCATGCGCGACTCCTGTCTCCCGCGCATGTGCGGATACAGAGTAGTGGACATTTTTGTTTGGAATAGCTTCTCTAGTACTTAGTACATATAACTCAATGCTTATAAAAGATAATTGTCGCAATTTATATCTTGGGTGTTGGGTAGAATTATAGAGAAGTAAACATTTAATTTTCTCTTTTTTTGTATGAAATTAAATTAACATACGACAGCCTTACAGATTGTGTATTAAATAGACCCATATTTGATATCAATTCATAATTTATTGTTTTTGTAGTGTTGGCACTAAAGGAAAATACTACATATTTAATATTCCATTTATTTTTGAATCCTATGCCACAAACCTATTTTACGCCATAAATCCTTTTTATTCTTCGCATTTAATCCTTTTTATTGTGAGTCAACGTGTATTTCATTATCAATTTTCTATTTTAATATTATATTAATAAAATAGTCGAATCAATATACCCCTTAGTATTACATGGTCCTATTTCGGTCGGTCGAGCCGACCTATTCACGACCGTAATATACGAATATTTTAGCCAGCGTGGCTCTATCTCGTATAAAATATTTGCGGCAGTCTTCGCTAACTTCGTTTATATCAGATATAATCTGTACAGCCATTCAAGTGCGTTTGGAGAGCAAACTTCCAAACATATGAGACAACAAGTAACATTATAAAGGCGTAAACCATCGCTTCAAAATATTGAATATAAATAAAGGCCGATAATTCAATCATCAAAAGTTATTCGTAAAATAAATTAAAACCCCGATTAAATATATAAGTTAAACCGTTAAACTATTTTATTCATACAAATGTAATTTTTTATTTGTCTATGTTATATTTTAACCTATGAATAAACTTTATCTGAGAATTGAAAAATCGGCCTTACGTAAAATAAGCTCTTTCTTTTGTGTGTTAAGTTTTAAAAGAGATTATTTTTATGTGTATCTATAAAGCAATTATTAAAGTAATTGCCTTATTTAATTCTTCATCAACCCGTAAAATTCTATCGACGGACATGCATTTCCCGTTGTAGTGAGGATTTGTTTGGCAGACGGATTGACAATAGTAACACCAGACATTTTGCACCTTTGTCGCTGCTTCCCGTCTCGGGTCTGGATTTTTACATTGAATTGAATTTGATTTTTTTTTGGCTTATCACATAGACGCCTCTTCGAAACCTATGCAGCGAAATGCGATGACGATTTCTCACACGCTGCCACCTAGTAACAGCAACATAATGACAAATGATATTTTAACAGAACTTAAGACTTTTAGCTCCGGAGATAGCTCACAGTACCGATCATGTCGCGATAGTTCTACCTCGGTTGCTATAGTAGAAGGATCACATGTAAAAATTTTTAACTCTGACATACTAAAATAATTAAATATGTATGTCTCGGAGTCCCAGACGGATACCTAGGGAGACGGCGATAGCCATAACTACTTGCCGTGTCGAACGGAAGGATTAAGTTTGTTAATGCGTCAGTTGCCCTGTTACTTTCTCTCTGCACTCTTAAGATCACAGCTCATTAGAGCCACCCGGCACCCGACCCTCACCGCCTCGCCTCGAGCGGTTCGTATTCTTCGTATGGATTTGTATGGGCCTGCGCTCACTACAACTCCGTACCATCACCGGATCGTGGTCTTTCTTGCGAATGTGTTGGACGCATTGTTGTTTGTTTTTAAAATGAACAAAGAAAATCTTATAGAAGAAGTTCGGAAGTATAATTTATTGTATGATTTAAGGGCCACTCGTTGATCGCGCGAGGTCCACTCGTTGACGATGTGAGGTCCACTCGATGACCACGCGAGGTTCACTGGTGGCAACGCGGTGTCCACCCGTGGTCCACCTGTCGACTACGAGTGGACGCCTGGCGACGAGGCGGTGAGGGTCGAGAGTCGGGTGCCGGGTGGCTCTAATGAGCTGTGACCTTTATAGTATTTGCGTTGTAGCATGGTGCGAATGACATCTCACGCCTATGAAGTTTCGTATTTTTATATAAACTTTCACACATATATTGTTGTACTTCATGGATGGGTACCGCTCATTTACGACAGTGATGTGCCACGCTAAACCATGCCATGCCATAACGAACTACCACATACTATAAAAAATCGGTTTTGAAATAAATCGAATATATATAAAAATCTCGTAAATATGTATTGTAATTTTAGCTAATCTTTCAACAAATTCTGATTTTTGATTTGATTGGAATAAAACGCACTTCAACGATTATGCAGTGTTTCCGATGCATGGACGCTAAATTATACGTTGGTCAGCTCAGACAAAAAAATAATTATAAAGCAAATTGCGCTTTGTGTTATAAAGATTTTATCACAGCTCATGACGGCCAAAATGGCTAGAAAAAATATTTTTTATTTTTATTTCATTATATTTGTAAACCAAATTCGAGATTATCTTTACCTTGCGTCTCGATATTTGGCCCAACCTGACAATGCTGCCATTTTATTTATTCGAATGTCAATATTTTTAACTTCCCGCTAAGAAAATTGAAAATTTTCTAAAATCTGGAAGTTATTGTCTTTATTACAATAGGGTGACAAACGAGCACACTGTGTAACTGATGGTTGCTGTGGCCCATAGACATTTACATCTATCCTCAATTACGAATCAAAATGCAGATGCGTTGTCACCCTTGAGGACTAAGATTAAAATGCCTCGTTTTCAGTAAAAAGGGTCTCCGGTTCTCTAAACTCACCATACGAAACAAAACAGCATTTAGCTGCTATTTTACGCTGGTATTCTGTGAGAGCGTGGCCCTTCCCCGGTCGAGCCGACTCATTCGTGCTACAACTATACTACTAATATAACTGCAGTATATCTCTACCACGTATGTATATGAATGTTGCAATCAACATAAAATAGAAGATGGCTTTTATTTTCTAATTAATATATAGTATAATCTATACTTTTAAGTGTCTGTTTTTAATATCAAAATAACAGCTTTTTACTAAATGCATATGAAAATATATACGGTAATCAAAGGCTTTCTCATAATTCATAGACGCCGGCCAAAGTGACAGATTGTACTCTTCGGTCTTCTGTACAATATGCTGCAGGGTATGTATATGGCCTATGGTACTGAAGCCTTTTTGGAAACCGGCTTGTGCGGGAGGCTGGAAGTCGTCAGGTCTGCGTGCGAGACGATTCGTAATAACTCTCGAAAATACCACGTAGACACGGTTCAGAAGGGAAATCGGTCTGTAGTTCTTCAAGAGAACGTTGTCACCTTTCTTGAAGAACAGAAACACCGCACATTTGCTCCACGTCTCCGGAGTAGTGCCACCATAGAGGACGGAATTGAAGAGCTTATGAAGGACTAAGTACCGGTGTTAAACCCGCTTTCAGAAGCTCCGCTATCATCCCATCATCTCCTGGGGCGTTAGCGATAGAGGAATCAGTGGTAACTTAAACATAATAATGATTAAAGTTAGGCCAGTCAGACGTTGTTCTGCCCTTTCTGATAACCTTTTTTCCTATAAAATAATGTGGTCCTATAAAAAAAATTTGAATACTCAATAAAAATTGACGGTCACTTTTCTTGATAAAAACTATCATATCTTTCAAGTTGGAGCAAGCAATAAACATCTACAAAATTTAATTAAAATCGCTTGAGCGGTTTCGGAGATTAGCGTGAACGAACCAACACGGGATTTTTATATATTGACTAGCTTACCAGGCAGAGGATGTTCTGCCCTTTTGGATGACCCTTTGTCATGTCCTATTAAAAATCCTTAAATTCGCAAAAAAATTGTGGGTCACTCATGGGTAAAAAAACTATCCTATCTCTCAAGTTGGACCAAACTGCACACGGTGTGCAAAGAATCATGCCCACTTTTCATACATTGATTGACCTTGAGCTCACTTGAGTCCTTTAACAGGTCGCGTCTACCTACAACTTGTGTTGTATAAAAACAATTATTGTTTATAATAACATAATACTTATCATTTTTTTCATTTAGAGGCCAGGGGAAAAGTTTTTGAGGCTATAACAGCTGTCAGATTAGGTGTGTAAACTTATTTTTCTGCAATTTTATAAGATATTTTACATCACTAGACACGTTAGAAAATTTTCAGGTCAAGACTGGACATGATTGTTTGCTTAAAATCGGTTTAGTAGTTTAGGAGTCGATCGCGGAATATATATATATATATTTTTTTTTTTTTTTTTATATAGTTTATTTTATATGTAAGATATATTGTATAATAAGTAAATAATATTTCTTTTCTATGTCTACACATATAAATAAGATTGAAAGTAATATTAAAATAAATGGCTTCTTTTAAGTTCAAAGTGTTATTTGCATGATATTAAAACATGATTAACCATTAAATATTTGTCCGTCTGTTTGTATCTCAGGCCTAATCTTCGGAATGGCTGAACTAATTGGGACAAACCTTCTGTCTTGACTTTATTTTATCCCAAAACCATGCAAGTCTTTCTTTTGTGAAATCAAAATATTGAATTGGTATTTAATGATTATTTCGCAAAATATGAGATATAAAAAAAATAACAAAACTTTTTTGGTCTGCAATTTATAACAAAAAAACTTTATAATTTTTGTAAAAGTTTATTTTCTTTTAATGTTTTGAAGAAAAATCGATTTTTAACATTTTGTGATTCAACCAATTTCACAAAAAAGCTATTGGTTTTAAAGGATGATAATATGAGGTGGTGATTCCATCAGAATGTAGATTGGACACAAATTTTATACTGCAAAAAATCTACACAAAGGAAATTTAACAAATGATGTAATCTTGTATGCTGAATTTGAACATTTCTTTACTTTTATTTGTAAATTAAAGATTATCATTATGTACCAATATAGATTTTAACAAAATATTTGTATACATCTGTAGGCTTATTTAAAATTTGTATTTTTTAATTTTAGTAACAAATGAGTTCACGTCAAATTAATTGATTCGTTTTTGTGATTTTTGGAGTATTTGCCAGAAGTAAAGAATATTATTCAACATTATGCTCACTTGCTAACTATTATATAATTATTTTACTAGTAATAATCGTAGATGGTACTATTAGTTACAGTACTCGTAAAAATAGTACAGTACTAATAGAAAATACTGATAGTAACTAAAAATATTTCGTTATTACACGCTTTGCTAAATTCAGGGTAGCCAAGAGGTAAGTCAGACAAGAAATATTGGCTGCCTTCTGATCGTTCTAACAGTAGTCGCTCTGCTCTGTGTGCTGGCATGTTGCTCGTGTGAGCCCAGAACTTCATTATGCTAATCACGCAGCATTTCATCAAACTTTGTTACATGGCGGCTAATTTAACAAACATTGTACTAAACAAATTGTATTGTAACAAATATCGCGTAGTTATTCATCAAAATATATTTAAATCTATGTCTACGTAGTTTATTAATAATATAATTCTATGTGTATCGGGATGGAAGAAAACTTTCCCTTGTTTCCTTAAGGAACTTACAGCATTATATTATTTTGCCTTCTGTATATTCTATTAATCGAATTGTCTAGGTATTGTTTTATCTATTTGCTGCCATGCAAAAGGCTACGTCAATGCTCGCTTTGTATATATCATCTACTTACTTTATTTTATGTGAGTGCTGAAATGTCGCTTTTTCATCACTAGTCATTAATAGATAAAATATTTAAAATATCTTCATATTTAGTATTTATAAAAAGTAACGGCAATATGTAATAATTACAGGCTTGTCATTATTCAGGGGAAACGCCAATAAAAAAGTAAACTAATCCTTAATATACGCGCCTGCCTGGTTAGACTGTAAAATGTCATTGTATATAAAAATCATATCATATTATTATATTGTTGTCTGAACTATAATTTTAGCGCCTTCTTCTAGTTTTACATAATATGTTATTATGATTTTGATTATAAAAATAATTTTGAAAAAAAAAACAATTATATGGCGTGTATTACTAAAATAACTTCTACATAACGTATGAGAAAATGTGGACATTATTTTAGAAAATATTTGGTATTAATTCACACACATATTGCATTAAATTGTTCTCATTAGTTACTGTCAGAGCTTTCCGCTTCATTTGAAAAGGTGTTTCTCCACGTGAATAATAATAACTGTACGCCAGGTACGAGTATCGCGTGGAGATGTTGCACCAAGTGTCGCGCGATCCGTCTAAGAACATAGTGCGCGAGTTTGCCTCGGATTTTGAGGTGGGCGAGTGCTGGGGCTACAACCGCTTTTTCCGACTGGATCTGCTCGCCAGCGAGGGTTACCTCAATCCCGAAACTGATACGCTAATACTCAGGTTTGTGTTAACACTTAGATCGATGTAACATATATATAATATTTAAGTTCTTTCTGATTTAATTTGATACCACTTTTTACTTCAGCTATAAATGTATGTTTACTTTGCACAAGTTCTAGATTCAGCTCATGAGAAATACTACTATAATCATTCACATTAGAACCTTCCATTGAATAAATACTGTGCTTGAGATATTATGAATTCTTGAAAAAATCTAAATGGTATACTTACGCCAAGATCTATTTTTGTAGCGTTATGCAGCAGAGCAGAGATAACTTAGTTGTTTCTTTTTTAAAATTTAAGACCAGACTACAGACAAACATGAAAGTAACACGAAAGCCAAGAAATATTAAAAGCCGTATCTGGTTTATTTTGTATAAAAGTTACAGCCTATATACGTCCCACTGCTGGGCACAGGCCTCGCCTCATTTCTGAAAGGGTTTTAGAGCAAGGAAGTGTCCGCCGCGCTGCCCCAATGCGTGTTGGCGAACTTCACGTCTTCGAAATATTTTTTTTCTTATTCCTCAGACATGCAGGTTTCCTCACTATGTTTTTCTTCACCGCCGAGCACGTGGTATATCAGCACTTAAAATTGCAATTAACAATTTCATTGGTGTCGGCGGGGATCGAACCCAGGTTACTCGCGTTCTCTGTTATATTTATAGCGAGTGTTAACCATCTGAGCTACCACGGCTCCTTATTTTGTATGCCGAATGATAAATGATAATAAATATTTATGCGTGCCACATGTGCAGTCGCCGTGAAATCAGTCTATTTACTATTTTTAACCCCCGATAAAAAAAAGAGTGGTGTTATAATTTTGATCGCTGTGTTTTTGTTTCGTCCACCGATTTGGGTGCGGTTTTTTAAAATTTAAAAACACGTTTTCTAACGGTGGTGGTTTCTAACTTATATGTTTTTATTAAAAACGGTTCAGCCGTTTGAAGATCACTAGCTTTTTTGTTTCGGGGGTTTTGAAAATTTTCAATTTCAGTTATATAGTTGTAATCGTAACCAGAATTTCTGTTCTACGCGGTGAAGTAATTTAAGATGGATAACTCGTTAGGAATTGCAGGATTTTTCCGGATATCTTTCTCGCAGGTTCCAAGTGCGACCACCCACCTTCTACCAACGTTGCCGCGACCAACAGTGGTACATTAATCAACTAATTACGATGCAGAATCAGCACATCCTGCAGATAAATGATCTCAAAGAAGTGAGTGTGTTTAAAACTTTTCACAGACTTAAATGATTAACGGACGTCCTTGATGTTTTCAATTTTTTTCAGCGTTTGAATCTAGAAATGTCTCGCAACTCAATAGCTGCGACCCGAACACCGAATAGCTCAATTCCCTCCCAAGGTGGCAACGACGCTGATAATCCAACGCAGAACAACCCAGTCGATGGAAACGCTCTCAGCGGCTCAATGCTGTTTGGCAACCAGTGGAAGTTCAACACCCCACCCAGTATCATGAGCAGCCAGAGACTGACTAGTCCAGGTTACTTAGTATATTATTTGGATATCATTAACATCTCAATTTTACTTTTATAAATAAAATTGGGCTTTTAAACAAGACGTTTAAAAGCCCAATTTTATTCGGCTCTTTTCTTGAAGGTCCCTAGGTCGTATCGGTTCGGAAAAATCGCCGGTGGTAAACAATTCCACAGAGATGTTGTACGATGAAGAAAACTCCTAGTAAAACGCACAGTGGGGGACCGCCAAGCATCCAGATGGTGAGGGTGGTATCGTAAATTTTGACGCGATGTGCGTTCGTGAAATTTATCGGCTGGAATTGAATAGAAAATGCAAAGGGATGCAATATCCCTGCGCACCGCCAGTAAATCGAGCCGATCAGAAAGAACTCGGTTGTCGACAATTCGAACCGCTCTGCGCTGGATGCGGTCAAGTGGAAGGAGCTGGCACTGGGGAGCCCCGGCCCAGAGATGAGAACAGTATTCCATGTGAGGCCGAACTTGTGTTGTATAAAGTTGCAAGCGATGTGCCGGCATGAAATACTGTCTCGCTCTGCTCAGAACACCAACATTTTTAGAAGCCAATTTGGCCTTCCCTTCCAAGTGACAACGAAACTGCACAATATTCGGTACGTCGACGCCACGGATTCCGATGCTAGCTGAAGCAGCAAGAAGCACAGGGAGAGGGCATATGCGATTTGCGTCGTAAACTTCATGTTTTAGTTTTTTCATGGGCGATATCGTAACAGTTTGAGCAGATTATTTGGAGAAAATTATTTATTTATTTATGTTAGAGACATGGTACAATAAGTTGCTGCATTATAACTTTTAGGATCATTTACATATCTTACCGGTATCGGCGTAGGAACAGCACAATTATCAATAATCAATCCTTAGTTTTGTACAATGTCAGCAAATAAGATGTCAATATAACAATATTATGTCAACCTAATAACAATCATAACAGTACATAATTAACAAATTGTGAAATATAACTTTATACTAAGGCTTCAATTATTCCGAATAGTAATTGTATACATTTGAAGTAAAACATTGACATTTTTGTGACTAACAGGATTTTTTTTTAAATAAATAACACGTTATTATACTATAATTACGACGACTTTAGGAAGATAAAAGTCTTTATTTAGTGCACTGCAACGGAAAATCATAGTTTTTAATGACGGTTTTTAAAGCAAAGATCCCTTCATAGCGTTTTACGAAAATATGCGTTAGAGTTATCTTCCCGGTTCCGCTCGCGTTCTTATCGCGTTTCTTATCCCGCGTTTTAATTCACACCGATAGCGTAAGCTAGTGTTGCCAAGTGTCCCGATTTGTGCGGGACACCCCGATTCACCCTTGATCGGGACGCCAAATGTCCCGAATTTTCACTAACCTCCCTAGTCTTATATTTCGATCGATCATTTGACAGCAAAATTGAATATATCTCTAAGCTGCTACTATTGCTTTGCATATTTTCCCACCAAACTCGGACTAAATAGGCAACATCAAAGTTTGCTTCGCGCGTAATGTGTTGGCATGGCAAGATCACTGACTGATGCCTATCGCCGGTTTGCGCTATGCATCGTAATAATAATCAGTAGAGTATCTAACTTACATGCTGCTGCTTAGATAAGTACATTTAGTAAAACGCAAAATGCTTGTGAAAAAATTCTTCCACTAGTCAATGTCTTCAATCGTTTGTAGGTACTGTTGTTTTCAATGAATAAAGTAGCATTATACGTCCGATGCAAGAATTTTATTTAGACTATCAAGGGGTGAGGTATTAAAACCGTTGGAACTATGCTGTTTTTCAAAGGGCTCTTTAAAGTGCATGAGTTGTGAGTTCATAAGATTAATTAAATACTATTTTCACAGTTATATTATTCAGAAAGTTTAGTCTGCATCCATGTTTGAACCAAAAATTATTCGTTCATTTGATCAGTTCTATATAATAATTATAAAACACATTGCGAATTGTGTCAACAAAACCAGTATAATTAATAGCGACCACAATGGCTACAAAAAAATCTGTTTTTTGTAGCTATTGTAACTGTCCCGATTTTAAAACCAAATTCCCGTTTTTATATGGACACACTATCGGAAACGATAAAGGCGCATTTACAGAATAAATAATAGTTCGCTCAACACAACGCAAGGAATGATACTTTGTTAAAAGATATTATTTAAATAATAATATCATTTAACTTATTATTTAAAGAATAATGTCCATGTGAAATTTATGTTCTTATGTTAACTGCCTCCACTATATACTTAGGAAACATTCTTAGTGTGGAGGTAACGTTATTATAAAATAGAAATAAAAACCGGCCAAGAGCGTGTTGGGCCACGCTCAGTGTAGGGTTCCGTAGTTTCCCGTCCGTCACAATAAGTGTTCCCACTTATGAGTTTAAAGGTGGGTATCCATTATGTTCGCGCTCCAGCAGCGCTCCGCGCTCCTGCAACTGCTCCCGGTAGTGGGTACGTGCGCGAACATGGAGCGTGCAACATTGCACGCTTCGCGACAGGCGATGCCAAGGGAGAGACCAACCGAACAATTCGATAATACCCGACCCAATGTAATAAGTACCTACAGCGCCATCTCTCGGGGAATTGGGTTACTAATTAATACATAGACGTGCCAGAAGTTTTCGGTGGTAATTTTGGATAATTTTTTAATAATTCTTTTTTTTGTTTGAAAAAAGATACGTTCAGGATAATAAAATATGTAAACGAAGTTAAAAAAAATGCCTGCTTAAACGATTATACTACAAACTTAGTCCAGAAATTATTTTGAATAACTTTTTGTCTTTTTTGTACAAAAACTGTTTCCATCCAGGTTCAAAATAATTTTCCTAGAAAGTCCTTATAAAGTTCTACCTTTCAGATTTTTTTCATATTTTCTAAACCTATGGTTCAAAAGTTAGAGGGGGGGACACATTGTTTTTTACTTTTGGAGCTATTATTTCCGAAATTATTGACAATATCAAAAAATGATTTTGGTAAACCCCTATTCATTTTTAAATACCTTTCCAACAATATATCACACGTAAGGTTTGAAATTAAAAAAAAAATCACTTCCCACTTTACATATAGGGGGGGCTACCCTAATAAAACATTTTTTTCCAATTTTTATTTTACCACTTTGTCGGCGTGATTGATACACATATTGGTACCAAATTTCAGCTTTCTAGTGCTAACGGTCACAGAGATTAAGCGAGGACGGACAGACGGACAGACAGACATGGCGAAACTATAAGGGTTCCTAGTCGACTACGGAACCCTAAAAAAAGATATGAGCAATGGTAGCTCAAGTGCAAAGTGCTCGCCGTAAACGCGAGCAAACTGGGTTCGATCCCTGCCTACACCAATGAAATTGTTATTTGATGAATTATGTTTAAATTATGAAACACAATAAATGTATATCGAACGAAATCTATTTTATATAATATATATTTTTCAATGAATATATTACTTACCCTTTTCTAGTTGTTAACTAGTTTCTAGTTGTTGGCGTTGCGACATATCTTAAGTCTACTCAATAGAGTAAAAAAGAAAAGCCGACTCTCAATTTACTAAAAGAATAAAATAATTTATACATATTAGCTTCCGATGTCAGGGCTAGATCGGATATTAATTCTTATATACACTATGTCTTAGCCCCCACCTCATAAGCTATTATGTGGATATTATTTTATTCCAATAGTATCAAGATGATTCGTGCTAGATACAAAAATCTTTGGATACAGCTTAGTTACTACCTTGCGCTCGCTCCACCTCGAGCAGTTACGCACACAGAGAACATTGTAGTGTGCTTCAATATTACGCCGTTCCAGAGCGATTTTGACATGCGCAAATTTGAATATACGCTCTTAAATGTCATCCTTATTTAATTGGTATGATCCTTTTGTTGATTGACGATTAACGGAGATGTTGATGTTGGGCCAAATTCGGGATTTTTTTAAAAACGCTGTATTCAAATCTCATAGATAAGATCATGAGAAAAAGAGAGGGTTTCGGCTTTGGCAGTGCTTCTGTCCAGCGTAGCTATTACATGCGTTTTTTTTTCTAGAAAAGCCTTATATGGCTGGCGTATTCTTCGAAATACGTGTTAGGCTGCTGTCCCACATTGACACCTTTTTAACATTCCACAGCAGTTGGATTTTAAATATTTTTTTTTATTGTTAATGAAAATTTTCTATATTATCCTGAGTTTTATCAAATAATGTACGTTGGTTTTTCTTGGCAACACTGTAGTCGAAAATGAGCGTTCACTAGTCTTTTTACTAGCTTTTATTTATTTAAAATTGTGTTGTTGATAAAGTGTTATAGTTGACGGAAACTAATATGTTTATGAGTTTCCGCCAAGAAACTCTTTGTATGTATATTTTATAAACCAACCTTAAGCGTAACGAGTCAAATATGATAACTAGTGTAACAGGGTTACTGTACAAATACAAATAAAATAAAATTACACCTGTTAATTTTTTTTAAAATCTGATTTGCAGATTTGCTAGATTTGTAATCAATTGTTGGTTTTGTAGGAATACTGAACACAGCTCTATTCCTGGACGACACGCGCAACAACGACGTGTCGTCGCAATCAGCTTTCGGATTCGGCGACTACTCGCCGCTCGATCGACGCCCACACGCACACGCTCACGCTCAGCACGCACTTGATGCGTATAACCTGCCGTCTACTTCAAGGTATTTTGGCATTTGATAAACTTTTACTAAAAATATTGAGTAAAACTTGAAACGACAGATGAATCATTTAAAATAAATGCCTGTCTGTTCGAGGGTAATATTTTTATTTCTAAGTCAGAAGTGTGTACGCTCAGCCATTGCAGCTGGTCTTCAACACTTACGACTAGGGTCCGAATTAATAAATATTTATCAACGACTAGGGCTCTTGTACACGCTAAGAAAAGTCGCCGGGTCTATGCAAGAATTCGTGTCGTTTCTACACACGAAATGTGTACAGTGCTTCGGCAATAAACAAAAAAAATCTTGTTTGCGCTAGACAAGACGAGTTCTGTGTTGTTGCGGTAAAGAGAGGGGCGTAGTAGGCGAGTTGCTTCAGATAATTTGAATTATTTTGTACATGTGTGGACGTGTTTGCGTACTAGTGTAAACACCGTTATCCTTGAAACCAGTGGTTTGGTTTCACTTATAGATCGTAAATTCAATGAAAAATAACAACATTTTTTTAAAGTAAAATCTCAATTTTTCCTTACTTCCTCAATTTTGTCTGTCCTAAGCCAGGATGAAAGTATGAAGGAAAACTTACATCACAGGTTATGTGCACCTATTGTGTTTTTATTAGAATGTTGTGTAGGTAGCTAGCGCGGGCGGTGATCTTTACAGTAATTACGTCACTCGGGCGCATAGGGTATCCATGAATTTACGGACGGTGTCGGACAGAAACTTTTTAAATTTTATGAAAGAAAATAGTGTTTTTTTTTAAACTAATTGAATTTACGTTATATATATATATATATATATATATATATATTTTATATATTTTGCAATAATAATTTTTTGTTTCGTAGTTAACATGATTCTATTCATTACAAACAAACTTGACTAGTGCACTATACGCTACGCACGGCTGACCGAAAACAATCTTATCGTTTACACGTCTCTATTTATCTTGTCTAAAGCAGACAAAAGAAAGTTTCGTGGCTAGATCCGACAAAATATTCTTGTCGTATACATGATGAATTGGCCTTATCTGCCCCAGAAATGGTGAAATTTCTTAGCGTGTACAAGAGCCCTTACGATATCAATATCCAAAGATCGTTTCTATTTAATAAACACATAAAACAGATCAAAGATATGCCTCTAAAGATGCTGTCATTGGAAATAGTGTTCTGTGACTTGAAGGCTTGATCTCGTAAACGATTACGTAACATTGACAAGTTTAGAATATTTTCATCACATTTCACGGTATAAAGTAGTTTTTACTTAATAATGTTTTTAAATCTTTAAAACTATTGTGTATGAATATCTAAATACGACTTAAATGTTCACTACTCTAGTGGCGGTGTAAGCATATCCACTACCCCATATCATCCCATGGGTGTTGTAAGAGGCGACGGAGGGAAACAAATCAGATGGGCAGCAGTTTTTTCCTAATAACAACCAAAAAAAAACTGCGGGTGCTATATATGGGAGAGGCCTATGTTATGGTACAACAGTAGACTTTAATAGGCTGTAACGGTAAGCGCGTAACCAAAGAGGAAATAATCACTACGTTAAAAGGTCGCTGCATACGTAACGTGTTTTATCCCGGACAGAGCGGGACGTGAAATTTTGGAAATATCGTTTCATAAAAAATGTACGTGATAATGTATACGTAACGGATGCATGGACGGGACGGGGACGTGGCATGAACGGGACGGGAAAAATATCGTCGGCGACGATGTTTACCCTGTCCTGCCCGGCGCGTGCCACGTCCCGTCCGTGGTTCCGCTGTGTATACACGGTCGCTCCGTTGGCTACACAGTGATGCGCGTGGTTGTACCGAACTAAATGTACTGCGAAAAACTAATTTAATGTGTATGATCATGTCCATGTTTGTATGATCTTACACAACATATTGAACACAAAATATAAAAATAGTATAAATTTTATTTTCCATTTATGTTGTCATACGGAAATACATATGAAATTGAGTCTTGTCATCCAAATGTTCTTTGTAGAGAGTGTGGTATGAGTACCAGGGTATTTCCTGCCACGTATAATGTACAGAAAGTCTCCTTTTACTCTTGACTGTTGTAGCTTCTTTATCATCTGAAGCAATAGCAATTAATGCCAATGCTTCAAATGAAGAATACATCTTTCACAACACTAGCACATTATTTTTGATTCACTGTCACGGTGCATATGCATTAAACTTTCGTCCGTGTTGACATACATCCACGTTCCGTCTCCGTCCCGTGCTCGTGCTGATTCTGTCCTGTATGCAGCGACCTTAAAAGGCGGGACTTAGTATAAGTAATTTTTTTTATAGAAGAAGAATACTATAATACATACATGATAGAACGGGGGAATGGGCGGAGCCCATGTTGCCACTGAAATGTCACTAACATGTCAATTCTCACGTATAACTCGAGATGTGTTTTGACGTTACAATCGTTTCCAAATTTCGTATGCTAATTATTTAGAAAATGCCAAATTGCACACTAATAGCAATAATTACAACTAAATACGTATTAAAATTTAAACGATTTTTTTAATGATAATCTTGAACATTAGTCAAAAGTCTATAATGTTTAAATTTACTCAGTCTGTCAACACAGCTAATCGGGTTTGTAGTAGTGATAATAAGACGTAATTGCTTATATGTGTGCTCCCGGCGACGTCGACCCTGGTACAAAATAAGGTTAACAGCCATTCTATTGTGTATTATAGTATTCTATGGGCTCACCTGATGATAAGTGACTACCGCCGCCCATCAAATGTATGAAAGGGCGCCTAGTTACTCTACCAACTTCAAGACATGACATTTAATTTTGAACAAACAGTGCTGACAACATAGGCGAATAATAATCACAAAATTATTATTAGCGGAGAAATAATTAATAGCGGAAAAAGTGTATTTTTCAAATAAATGGGTCGAAAATGTAACGGCTGCGATGCCGTAATATACGACATTTCGTACATGGAATGTGCAAGAGATGGATGCAAAAAATTGTACCATCTTAAGTGCTTGGCTCTGACGAAGGATAAATACGAAGCGTTTACCGAATGATACAAGTGCAATTGGAGATGCCCGGAGTGTGTTTGCAGTGCACCGAAGCGGGATAATTCGCACACACACGAGTTCGAGGTAACCACAATATAATGAATAAAACTTCAACCCCTTGCTATGTAAACTTAGACCGAGGCAATAAGATGTTTCAAAAAGAAGTTATAGTAAAATACTGCAAAAATTGCAAGAATTTCGATTTGAGATGAACTTTAAAATAGATGAGCAAATAAGGGAGCTTTTTTATTTGCTCAAGTACAGGTTTGTTGATACCGAAACAGAATTACGTAAATTACGAGATACTATGAAAGTAGTGCAGAAAAAGGCAAGCAAAGTCGATGAATTAGAAGCGCAGATAAAAACATTGGAGCAAAAAAATGAACAATTAAAGAATTGTCTGAACAAAAATCAGCCTACAAAAGAAAGGAATGAGACAGTTAAGGTTAACAAAACGAAAAGCAGGTACTAAGCAAAAATCAGCCTGTAAACAAAGATAATAACAAAGATAAGCGTGTAGTGGCATGTGTGGCCATGAAACCGACATGTAATATAGAAACCGCTGCGGAAAGTTTTGATAAAGAACAACTATCGACAGATAATACAGAACATAAGATGGAAACTAGCAAAAAAAAAAAAGGATCATGGACCCACATCATACGTCGCTCTCTACTGTGGTGCCATAGCAGGGCCATGCGCGGTGCGGCGGGCAGCCCGCGCCCGCGCCGCTGCTAGCTGAGTCTGAGGGGAGCACCCAGACGCATACTGGATGGAACTTCTATAAAGCAAACTTTTCGTTAATGTATTCGTTAATAGCGGCCATAGATTGGACGCCAATGTATAGGTTAGATGTAAATAATAGTTTAGATTATTTTTATGAGGTTTGAAACAAAGTTATGGATGACTGCGTTCCAAGAAAAAAGCGAAGACGTGTAAACTCGGAGTACAGTTACCCCGAGTGGTACACGATAGACATTATTCGCAACATACAATTAAAGGCTAGGCTTCATAAGCAGTTTAAGGTTAGCAAATCAGGGGCCGATTATGAGGCGTTAATAAACTCCACGTACAAAAATAATAAAGACCGGATGCATAGTAAGTTTCAGGAAAATCCAAAGGCGTTTTGGGCTTACGTTAACTCAAAAAAAGACAGCAGAAGTCCACGCAAGATTTTAAAAGATGATAAGGTTGGTTGCGCGGAAAACCATTCGCGTTTTTTATTTTTGACGGTAGGAACTTGTAGAATCATTATTTCCTTTCCAAACAATATCATCCGTACCCTCCTATCGACACATCGGGGTGGTGGGGTGAGAGGGGAAAGAAGACGATTCTAGAATATCGCGTAATCACCCGAGCCGAGGATATATAAGACACGCGCGACCGATGCGCGAGGCTCTTCTCCCGCCGCAGTCGTCGTTGAACCAACTCTTCTCTCCTGACGCACCACTGGGGCCCCAGAAGTGTCTGTCCAGAGGAGGTTCCGGAAGTCGCCGCTATAGTGATCGACAGGAAGAAGAAACCCCGGTGAGTCAATACTCCTTAATTATACCTGCTTGCTAATAATTTAACCCGCTCCAATCTGTGTTTTTTTCCTAGTCAAGCAGGATTCCTTTCATCGATTCGACAAGTAATAGTTTAGTTTAGGGAAGAGCGAGTGCATTGTACCGCATGCTATAGTAGTCGCTTTACGTAAACGTAGAAGCAATCGCATATACAGTCCACTTTAGTTAATATCTCGCGTAATAGGTTTGAGGTTTGACCGGGGAACTAGATTTTCGGCAGCCTCAAACACGTGGCTCCACCATTTTATGGTCACTTCGGCAGGATCTGGATTGGTGTTTAGTGGTTATCCAACCATTTTCTGGTCGAATTATTAAATTAATTGTTTAGATAACGCACTCTAATTTATAGAATAGACTTAAATAGTGTTCGTTTAAATTAAAATTTTGATTTGTCACTCGCAAACAGAATTATTCATTTAATAGCGCTCGTATTTGGTTAAATTTAAAGCTTATTAAATAATTGAAACGGCGTGATAGCAACCGTTTGATACGCTTACCCCACAATTTTATAAAATTATTAGGTTTAGCAAACGACGCGTAGCCTTGACTGCATCGGGCGCTCGATCTGATTACGTAATACGGCACGCCGAGTATTCATCCTACGTCGTTTATGCGTGTGAGATTAATTGTGATTAATATAACTTTATTATAATAATTTAAAATGGCAGTTAGTGGAAGTGAAATCAAAATTAAAACGCTTTATGCCAAGAGGGACATACTCTTTTCGCGTATGCAGAATATAAGTGATTATATAAAGAACATTTATATAGAGGCAGTACGGGAGGCCTTTTTAAATGAAATCGAAACGATAGATAATTTGCGGACAGATTACGAAAGAATATTAGATCAAATTAATCATTCGGAACTACAAACCGACCCGAAATACATAGTGAACTACCAACCGCTGCTGGCATTCGAAGATATGTTGTGTCGCGTGAAGAGAACCGCAAAATTGCTACAATCTCAAGGTGAAGCGAAGCCTGAAATGCAGGTACGCCCTCGTGACTCAATTAGGTTACCGCCAATAGATATTCCGGTATTCAATGGTGATATTAAGACGTGGCCCTTCTTCTTCAGTAGTTTTCAAAACAATATACACAACAACCCATCGTTATCGGACGCTGAAAAATTATATTACTTAATTAGCAAACTTAGTGGCAGAGCACAGTCGATCTGCTCGGGTTTTACACCTACAGCAAACAATTACGTATTAATATTTGAAACGCTTAAAACTAAATATGAAGATAGGAGAATGTTAGCTTCCGAATATTTGAACCAGATATTCGATCTTAAACCTATATCATCCGCGAACATCAACGGCTTAGAGCAGTTTCTCGATAAATTTGTGGCATCGGTGGCTGCACTTAAGAATTTGAAGTTTAATGACCTCATGGACGTGGTGTTTCTCCATATAGCATTAAAGAAATTAGACTCCGACACCGTGCGTGCGTTTGAAATGGAGCATCGTAGCTCGGAGATGCCTTCCTTTCATTCATTAGCATCGTTCGTGCGAGATCAAATAAAGGTGATGCAGCGCTCACCGAACGTTAAACAGGAGATTAAAAGGTGCGTCGACCGTAGACAGACTCAACCATCTAAAATAGCAGGGTCGTTAACTTACGTAACCGCTACGCCGACATCACTCCAGCATACTTGTATAGTATGTAAAGATAAACACGGTAATTTATATAACTGTGCGACTTTTCGTAAATATTCACCAAGCGAACGTTATAAGTTAGTAAAAACAAACAACCTATGTTTGAACTGCTTAAGCGATAAGCATTTAGTTGCAAAATGCAATTCGAGTTCCGTATGTAGCAAGTGCGCCAGGAAACATCACACGCTATTACATTTTGAAAATAGCAACATAGCGGCGTCAAGTAAGGCGAATAAGGAATTCACCCCTACTAAGGTCAACGATTCTAGCGGTCGACCTGATGATGTCGCTCTGTGCTCATTGGCAAATATGGGAGCACAACCTCCTTCAACCGTGTTACTGGGTACGGCGCGTATTTTGGTTAGGGATTCGCGTGGAAACAAACAAAGCGTCCGTGCACTGCTGGACAGCGGAGCCCAAAATAGCTTTATAACACGACAATGTTGTCAGCGCTTAGGCTTAGTAATAAATAGGTCACTTTCATGTCTTGTAGTTAAAGGCATCGGAGGTACTAGTAAAGCGACACAGGGATATATAAATTTAAAATTTTATTCTCGGATAGATCGTAACGTTAACTTTGATATAAATGCACTAGTTGTAGATAGGGTCACTGAACGGTTGCCAACCGTTTCGGTTGACACATCGGCAATGATTGAATTTAAAAATTTGACTCTAGCAGACGACACTTACGCCGTTCCTGGAAACATAGACATGCTCATTGGGGCATCGCTTTTCCCTCATCTTTTGTTAAACAATAAGGTCAGGGGCAACTCCTCGCATACCGCGCCTTACGCACTGGAAACCGTATTGGGCTATGTGATCCTTGGCTCCGCCCCCATCCTAGATAGCATATATTTCGGCAGCCTCTTATTGTGGTATGGCTGTCGAACCGCTCGAGTCGTTAGTCCGCAAATTTTGGGAGATGGAGGAGGTGAACGTCCCACCCATAGCTAGTTCAGATGACAGGATATGCGAGGAAATTTACGTCCGCACGACCGTTCGTGATCGTGACGGTAGATATAGTGTAGCGCTACCCTTTAAGGGAGATGTTTTATCTCTCGGCGATTCGCGTCAAATGGCGGAAAAACGTTTCTACAGCTTGGAGCGTAGGATGCTCGCTTCGCCCCAGTTAAAGGAAGCTTACGACGGCGTCATTAACGAATATATAAGAGAAGGTTACATATCACTTGTGGCTTCGAAATTAGATAACTACGAAGACACACCGTCGTATTTTATACCACACCACGGAGTCATTAGAGAGGACAAACTTACATCTAAATTACGTGTAGTGCTCGACGCTAGTGCTAAAACTAGCACTCACCTGTCGCTTAACGATATCCTCTATAGTGGGCAAAATTTACAGGGCAGTTTATTTGATATAATAGTCAATTTTCGTTTGTTTAGTATAGCACTATCCGCCGATATTCGCCAAATGTTTCTTTGCATAGGGGTCCGTGAATGCGACCGTAGATTCCAGCGCATTTTATATCGTTTCCACCCAAAGGAACCTCTAATGGTGTTAGAATTTAACCGCGTTTGTTTTGGTTTAAAGTCGAGCCCATTTCATGCGTTACGCACGGTGAGACAGCTCGCTCACGATGAAGGTCCCTCTTATCCTAAAGCTAAGAGGGCAATTGAGAGCGGATTATATATGGATGATTTTGTGTATTCGGTCGATAGCGTGGAGGAGGCCACCCTAACCACCGCCGAGGTTATAAGGCTCATGAAATCGGGTCAATTCGATCTTGTGAAGTGGACTAGTAATTCGCGTCCGGTTTTAGATACAATCCCACTATCACACCGTCTTTCGGCGATAAAGGAATTCGACGATTCCGATACACACAAGGTGCTCGGTCTGTGTTGGTCACCAGAGTCCGACGTGTTTAGCCTTAAGGTAAATCCGCCCGTAGAGAAATGCACAAAGCGCACAATACTGTCATGCGTTGCTAGATTATGGGACGTCATGGGTTTCGTAGCTCCGGTGGTATTATACGCTAAGCTTTTGATTAAACAACTTTGGTTATTTGAATGCGATTGGGATGACTCGCCGCCTGACAGCATTGTTCGATTGTGGCAGCGCTTTAGAGAGGAACTTCCTTTACTAAGAGAAATTAAAATACCGCGTCATATAAATGTCGATAGAAATAGCAGCATAACGGTTGTTGGATTTGCAGACGCCAGCGAGAAGGCTTACGGGGGCGTTGTATATTTCCATGTCCAGAATAA